ATAAGGAAGCACTGACTTATATTCCCAGGGCCTAAATCAGTACTTGGCATTTAATAGACACTCTTGATGATTCCAATTAATAACTGGATTTTAGACCACTAGTAGGCTGACCCTGAAAGGTACTTGGAAGGCCAATTTTACAGCCGAGTACCCTTCCCTGTGCCTATGCTAATCTGTAATGTCAGATGAGCTGTATCTTTTTTTTATATAGAAATACATGTTTGTTCTTTTTTTGTGTGTGCTATTGAGGACTGAAACCAGGAGACACTACCATTGAGTTATATCCCCAGCCCATTTTAATTTTTTATTTTGAGACAGGGTCTTCCTAGGTTGTGAAGGCTGGTCTCAATCTTGTGATCCTCCTGCCTCAGCCTAACAAGCTGCTGGGATTACAAGCTTGGATCACTTCTCTGGGCTAGATTGACTGAAGTTTAAGGTTAGTCTTGTATTAAACCATGTTCTCTACGAGCACAACTAAAGACTTGGAAATTATGTTGTCCTTGGAGGCAAGGAAAGGATATTTTGACTAAGTCTGTGATAGTCAACTTACCATTGGATTATGTGTTTAACTTCCCCAGCAGCTACCTATGCTTTAGAGAGAGCAAAGATGACACTCTACCTCATTCTTAAGGCATCAAAAGCTTTCCAGAGTGGACACTATAGAGGTCTTTCCAAAATCCTTTATGGTTTTCTTTTCTCATCACTAACTTCTCCCCCTGCTTTAAATATACTTAATTTTAAATTCACAGCAAAACAGAATTGAAAGTACAGAGACTTCCAACATACCTCTGCACTCCCCACTTCCCCTAATAACAACATGCTGCACCACAGTGGGTACATTTGTCATAACTGATGAGTCTACATCAACACATCATCATCACCCAGAGTTTATAGTCTAGATTTCTTGGTGGTACACATTCTATAGGTTTGGACAAATGTGTAATGAAATGTATCCACCATTACAGTAGTGTTCAGAATAGCTTCATTACTTGAAAAATGCTTCATGATCCTCTATGATTTCATCTCTCCCTTCAGCCACTGGCAGCCACTGATTTTTTTTTTTTTTTTTTACTGTCTCCATGGCTTTGCCTTTTCTAGACTGTCACAGAGTTGGAGCTTCTTCATTTTTTGATGCAGTGGCACTATATATTTTGTTATATTTCTAACCTGCTAAATTACTGCTAAAAATCAGCTTCCTTGAAATAATTCTGTTTTACATAGTGAGAAGATCAGACACAAAGTTAAGAAACGGAAATGAAGTTAAGCTATATCAGACACTTAAGAAAAAGAAATAAGAGAGCAGGAAATGTGAATATCTATTTGAAACTTAGCACATACGTGAAAAGAAGTCATATTCAGGAACATTTAAGAACCCAAGAAATGCTATGATTTATGCTACATTCTCTTGGGACACCAATTCAGTATAAATGAGAACTAATCTTTAAGTGATAATTTGAGTTTTAGAATTAATCAATTAAGAGTCAGAGGACAGCCTGATTACCCTTCTTTGTTCTGAAATGACCTAAGAAGTTTAGTTTAATTAATACTGTTATCTGGTTTTATTATTTATTCACTTTCTCCTCCAAATGTCTTTCTGGCATATTAATATTAAAAGTCAGTGTTTTGCCTGTGTCAGTGCCAATGTATATTAAATAAGCTCCTTCTTTCCCACTGCCCCCAAGTGACTTTGTATCTTACTTAATACTTAATTAACAAACACCTGCGGTTTTCTTCCAAGGACTTTTTAATTTTATCATTTTCCTCTTGAATTTTGTACTTTCCATCCTGCCAAAAGAAAATAGCCCAATTTCAAAATTTATCTTATTTATGAGTAAAGTAAGTTCAAAATACCTATATATCAGTTACTTCTTATGAGTTTTTTTTTTTTTTCCCCTGACTGAGCTCTGCATAACTGGTAAAATCAAGCACAAATGTATCTAGCAGACCTATGTAATCCTCTGGGAATTCAATCAAATAGATGCCTGAATGCTACAACAACTTCTACAGCCTATGTATTCAGAGAGTTTTCTACTCTGAAGAATGAAGTAAAGTTCCACCTGCATAGTGATACCAATGCTCTTAAGCACTGTCTGGGCAGTTTTTAGGGACAAATTCTGTGGCATGAGAACATATATGTGTACACATACGCACTGCTGCATGCCTTAAATTGCAGTCCATCTGCTTCCAAAAGTAGAATCTGTGTTCTCAGACCATTCAACTATCAAAGAAGGGAGGTTAATGTACTATTTATTCTTCTAGAAACTCTACTACAAGGCAATTCTAGATTGAAAAACTTAAACTCACTGATAAAATAAGGTAAGACTTAAGTAAACCTTTGTAACTCCTTCATATTTTGTTCACTAAACTTAATAAAGATAGCATGCTTATATAAAATGGCTCTTTACATACTTTAAAACATTAGTGGTGGTTACTATTACAATGCATTTACATTTACCATTTTTTTTGTGTGTGTGTGTATCAGAGATTGAACCTAGGAGCACTTAACCACTGAGCCACATTCCCCAGCTCTTTTTAAATTTTTTATTTCCAGACAGGGTCTCTCAAAGTTGCTTAGGGCCTTGCTCAGTTGCCAAGGATGGTCTTAAACTTGCTATCCTCCTGCTTTAGACTCCTGAGCTGCTCCCATTAAAAAAAAAAAACAACCCAAACTCTTTGGCAAATTAACAGCTCATTCTCTAGAAACTTTAAATAAGAATCGTATATAGGTTTTACTTTATTATATATAATAACATACATAAAGGAGCCAATTTCTTCTCTGTGTTTGATACAAAAAGTACCTCATGCGTTTTGGACTTCATTACTTGAAGAAATTGGCTCTTGTTTCCTAGTCCCAGAGATATCTTATCCAATTTTAGCCTCCTCACCACTGCAGGTGCTAGATGACCCTCCTTTTAAGAATGTTTGGTAGGAATTTTTATTTCTGCTCTTTAAAACCACTCTGTTACTTTCCCTTCCTTAAGCTTTGTTCCCTCTAATTATTTCTAAAAGAAATTCCTAGAGTATGCTCAAACTGAAATCCTCATGACTTAGAAATACTAGCAGAAATCCAAGAAGCATGTTTTTGTTAAGCTACCACAAAAATCTTAAAAAAATTATTATTACAATCCCCTTTCCAAATGAAGCCATGAAGACTCGGAATAAAGCTTTCATCTCTCCAGTCCAGCTCATTTGCTGTCTGTATACCAGAGGCCACAGCAATAAGGTATGAAATCCATGGGCTCATCAAGGTAGCCTCTCAAAATTAAAATAAAGTAAATAAACAAGAGAATAACAAACATTACCACCTTGGCTTCTGGCTTCTGACTCTTTTCTGGGGTGATCCTGTTGTGTAATCTTCTTTCTTTTTCCTGTTTTAGTTCTAACTCAAGCTGGTTCCTGGGATAGGTGGGAAAGGAAGATTGAAAATTTGAATTTCTGTATTCACATTCCAAACTCTTTTCTTTTTTAAATATTTCTTTTTTTTTCAACTTTTTTTTTTTTGCCAAATCTTTCTCTTAAAGTTGAGTAATTAAGTTTCTTTTGGGGTATTGAACTAGGAAGCACTCGACTACTGAGCCTTACTTTGTATTTTATTTAGAGACAGGGTCTCACTGAGTTGCTCGCTTTTTGCTGAGGCTGGTTTTGAACTCGAGATCCTCCTGTCTCATACTCCTAAGTAGCTGGGATTAAAGGTGTTTGTCACTATGCCTGGCCAGTAATTAAGTTTTGATGAATTAAAAGTTACCACACATATATGGACAACTAAGCTTTAAAGTACTAAAATACAATAAAACCAATAATATTAAAAAACATAAAACATGCTTAATCTTTCTTGGATAATTATGGATATATTTTAGGATTGCCCAGTACCTGAAGGGCAACTCCTGAATATTGGTATTTTATATGAACTCTTCATTAAGAGTTGTGGTCACTGAAATGACAATAGTATTTGCCATAACCAAAAGACAGCATTTATAAAATTTCAGCAAGATATAGTATCAAAGTATGGTTATTATAGATACATTTCATATTAATTAGTTGTTCTCTCTTAAAGTTATGTACTCTACCCTCAAACACTACTGATCTCTGTTGCTATAAGCTTTATATCCAACAAAGTTCTATTTGTTTGGAATCAGTGATTTATGCACAAAAGTGAGTCACATTTGAAATATAATATGGAACAGTGGTTAGTGCTGGAGTCAGAGAAATAGATTTTTGAATGATAATGTTGTCACTTATTAGCTTAGCTGTCAGTTTAGACACATTTGACCCTCCCAAGCTTTAACTCCATCTGAAAGTGGGGGCAACAATATAAACTACTAAAAGGATTGCTGTGAAAACCCTGGGTGTGGTGAAGAGCTCTGTAAAGCACACGGCACACAGGAGGAATGCAGGAAATACTAACTAATGTTATTATTGCTATGTTGGCTATTCATTACTATTTATCTAGGACCCTGCACTCAAATTTCCTAATTCTTTAATTACAAAGGATGTTGACAGGATTTAGGGAATGATGATATACGTGAAGCTAACGGAATTCCAATCCAGGGAAAAAGACAGTAGCTGAGATGGCTGTACGTCCTGAGGTTCCCTTCTTGCTGTCTGGCCTTAGAACTCCCCATGACCACCCTGTCAGCTCAAGCTGCCCTCCCTTCACCGCTGCCTGGTGAGCTCCTCCACTTCCAGCTGTAGACTGTTGATCTTGTCTCCGAAGTCCTGTTTGAAGAGCCGGTTGTCCAATTCAGCAGACTGGCGGCCTCGCTCAGCCTGGCGCAATCTGGATGTGAGCCATATGAACTTGTGATAAAAAACAAAAGCCATGGTGGGGAGGAAGACCAAGTTCACAACACAAAATAAAATAACCCAAGGAGGAAGGCATGGAGAGAGAAAGAAGAAAAAAAACTTTGTAGGACACAGGGGAAAATATTAGGAGGGGAAAAAAAAGATGGAGAAGAAACAAATTCTAAAGAAAAGCAAGATGAAGGTGAACCAGGCAGAGGAAAATTTTCCAATTTTTTTTTTTTATTCTAGCACTACAGTTTACAGTCATTAGATGATCAACAATAAAACATCACTTTTTAGAAAATCCATATCCAAAGCCAACCTCAAGTACATAGTAATTTGAGTTTAATTCATATTTTGTTTTTATTTCCTATTTGATTTGGTACTTTTTATTTGCTTTACATACATAACTGGAACTTGTAATTGGGTAACTATCTTAATAAGTGGAATTATAACATTTTTCTGGTCCTTTCCTCAAACCACATATATTAAATCATAGGACATTATACATCAACCTTTAACCAGGTTTCAGGTTATTGTACAAGGAAAAGCCTTTTTCAGAGTTTGGCTGACTCTTTCCATTCCATTTCTACCAAGTCATGTGTGACTATGTGGACAAAGAATTTAGCACTGGGCCTTATAAGACCCCTGGCCACATTCTCTGGATGATTCCAATGGATGCTTTCTTCTAAAGTTATAATTTTGCACCTATAAGAATAATGTTTTAGAAGGCAAAACACTTGGAGCTTTATATAAAGGAACTTAGAAGCATGCTATGTGTAGTTTAAATGTTTTAATTTTCACGTTTGAGTCCTCCCTCCAAATGCCCATAGAAAAGGCAACTCATCAGCACAAAAGGTTGATGCAGATAAGAATGTAGTAAGCATTTTATTTATATAGGTGCAAAATGATAAGAACTAATATAAGCTCAAGAGCCTAGTATCTTTCATAAAGTTGGCTCTAACATGTTCTTCAATTTGATTTTGGTTCGAGTCTGTGTAAGCATAAACACATATGAAATCTATCTTACTCTCTTAATTCTGGTTTTGCCAAGTAGAATGTAAAGAATTTCAAGAGCCAGAAGCATGGGTTGTCTTTGTCCCTACCTTAGCAGCTGAAATGCTGTGAAGCATACCAGATGAAGGAAAAAAAAATAAAACAAACCCAAGCAAACAAAATCCCAAATATTTTGACAAGACCTTTTGACAGAACGAAGGCTTACTAAAAAAGCCTGTATCCCCAAATCAAAAGTCACTTTAAGAAAAAAAAAAAAATCATGGTATTTATACAATTATTTACAATGTAAAGCATAGAAAGGGTTAGATTGGTGGTCATTTAGAAAAAGAAGCCCTGATAATATTGCTTGTGGATACCTACTGGGAACTTTTATATGGACACAGTATCTTCATTTTATCTATTTATTTTATGTGGTGCTGAGGATCGAACCCAGTGCCTCACACATGCAAAGCAAGTGCTCTACCACTGAGCTACAACCCCAGCCCTGGGAACTTTTATTTTTATACTAAATAATAATAAAGAATATGCTTTATCATTTATTTCTTAATCTGAAATGTTTTTCTAATAACTAAATTGTTAGTTTCCCAGAACCATTAGCAAACCCATCTAAACAAAAAGTAACAGAAATTCTTAATAACAGAAACTAAGGAATAACAGGCAGGAAATCATTATTCATATATACGCCTTATCCTCTTTACTCCAGTAGGAAAAGCAGGATAGAACTGAAAAATGCATAGTGCATTTTGTTTATAGGAGAAGAGTGTTTTTATTAAAATTTTTTCTCTCTGAGCTAAAGTGGAATTTCAGAAAAAGTGGCAGAGGTAGAAGATGACAAATATTAGGAGATTTTTCTCAAGCTTCCATAATATGATGTTATCATAAGTTACCTAATTATTAAATTTATCTCTATGTACTTTAAAGAAATATAAGGATGCTTTTCTTTGTTGTTCAAAATCACTAAGGCAAAAAAGTTGCAAGCAATCTTGGTTACTGAGAATAGAACTGTAATGAAATACTAAGCACTTATCCTTAGTTTGGGGATTAAACCTACATAACAAAATTGAAAAGGGGTCATGGTCTAAGAGACACAACTACTTTAGAAGAGTCCAAGTTTACATGGTAGTCACCTCTAGTTCATTACATTGCAATGACAGAACAGGCTTGCTGATACAGACATTAACAATGCACCTAGAATCTGATATTACCAAGGAATGGGTTGTAAAGGCATCATTAATATATATATATACAAAGCCTCAATTCTCTGGGCTTTTCTTTTTAAATGCTATTTTTATTTATTGGTCAACTCAGAAGTAATTTCTCAGTTTATTTGTCATTTAATTAGAAATTTGCACCAAATTTCTAACTCTGGGGAGAAAATAATAATAAGAAAAAAACCCCAACCTATTTGTCCAATTGTTATTTTTAAAAGTCCAACAAATACAAAGTCAACTTTTGGTGACATTTTTATGGAATCAGAGCTTAAACATAATAACTTTCAGATTTCTTCCTTTTACAATTGACTTGTGATACTGTGAGGTGACCAACTGCAAAATGCCTAATGATGTTTTGGGATCAGTTTATTTGCTGCACTATTTAAGGTCTTTGCCTGTTTCACCAAATCTTTTTCACTAGATGAAATAAAATAAAAATGAAAACGAAGTGAAAGGGAAATGAATAAACAGGAAACACAAAGATAGCAAGAGAAATAAGTCAGCTTGATATTCAGAGAGGTAAGTCATATTTTATTCTCTCTGCTTTAAATGCCAAGTCTAAATGAGTGAAAAATGTGATACATCTCAAAAGTACAATTTAGAAATACTAAAATATATTTGGTATAAACATATAATTGCCTATGAGCAAGTACTTAGCTTACTTTTTTTTCTATAGATACTTTTTATTTATCACCCATATTAGAGGTTTTGAGTTTATTTATAAATCTGCAGTTAACTTTTAAGTTAACAATAAATATGCACTGTTGTTTAGTACCTTCCCTCATTAAGAATCATTGGAATAAAAGAAGTCACCCATTCATCCATTCATTCACATATCTACCAAATTTATGCCTTGTACATTTAAGGTACTGACAGATCCAATGAGGGAACATTTTTGTGTCTGTGTGTGTGGTACTAAGGGTTGAATCCAGGGCCTTAAACGCAGTAAGCAAGTGCTCTACTACTGAACTACAACTCCAGCCCTCCCAATGAGGGAGCTTAAAAGATCTTAAAAGATTTGTTAATTAGGGCTGGGGATATAGCTCAAGTTGGCAGAATGCCTGCCTTGAATATACAAAGCCCTGGGTTTAATCCCCAGCACCACCACCACCAAAAAAAAAAAAAAAAAAAAAAAAAGGAAAAATTGTTAATTAATCTCAAGGAGCCTATTCTCTCAAAGGAAGGTATGTATTTAAAGGACTATAAGGTAAAGCAGACAGTAATAAATGCCACTAAGTGGTAAAGATAGAGACAGATATAACGCTATTTCTAGCTGAAAATAGGTATCAGAAGAAGCTTTGTCTCAGCAGCTCAGGAGGCTGAGGCAGGAGGATTGTGAGTTAAAAGCCAGCCTCAGCAATTTAGTGAGGCCCTAAGCAACTCGGAGAGACCCTGTCTCAAAATAAAATATGGTTAAGCGCCCCTGGGTTCAATCCCCAGTACTGAAAGAAAAAAAAAAAAAAGCAGATTTGGAGTGTGCTTGAATGGAAAAAATGTAACTGAAGAACAAGGAAGCAGGAAGGAGAAGGTTATTTCTAATTGATGGAACTCTCAGCAAAGCAATGGATGAAAAAAGGGGAAAACATATCCAGGAACCCATAGTTTAGTTTTTTTCAAGTGCAAAAAGGTTGATAAGTAGGTGTTAAAGGTGGAAACACTGAATGACCCTGGGTGCCATGCTGTGTTCAGTCCTGAAATCTTAGCCACATTTCTCTTGGCTGCTGAGTCACCAACAGTAGTTTCAGACAAATGGAGAATTAAGAACATATCATAGAGAGATGCTTTGGGCACAGAGAACTGAAAGACTGGTGGGAGATGGTGGTCAGAGGAAGAAAACTCAAGACCAGTCTCCTGATGGAAGTCAGAGAGGAGACACACACTGCAGATGTCAGTGGACGCTAAACAACTATTGCGGAGCCAGTAGACAGCAATGGGAGATGGGAGAGAAGAGAGAAAAAGGGTTAAAGAAGGGAAAGATCCATAATAGATCTTTCTATTTCTATTTCTAAACCACCTTTTGGAACCCCTAGGTCACCTAGTGCCAAAGTATTCCAAGACTTTAGGGAGGAACAATAAAATCACACAATTATAAACACATACTTAAAAATTCTTTCATTCTTGAAAGTATACTTCTAAGACTCGTCAGTGAAATGGGTTAAATTCCCATTTCTAATATTCAAAGTAGTCAGGACAGGCTGACTGACATTTCTTAACAATATTTTCAATGACATCTTAAAACACATAAAATTCAATTGGCTTTCTTTCTCCAGGCATGGCTGATTAGGTTTGGAAGAATTTCATATATTTTTTATTTGCCCAAAGCAGAGCATACTCTCTTCACTTTTAGCACTCGCAGCTCAAAGTATTTCACTAAAGGAATAGCACTTTTTACCTTTGTTCCAGTTGTTTAATGGTAGCAGCCATCTGATTAGTCTTCTCTTCCAAGCGACTGTTTAGTTCACTTTTCTGTTTTACTCCTAAGTCTGAACTCTGTATAGAAAATAATTATAGACTATAACATAAACTTCTTAATTATAATCACATATGCTTTTTGAACCTGATAGTAAGGGGAAAATAGAGAAATATAAATGCTCATACATTTCCAAACAGGAACAAACAAACAAACAAAACAAACCCCAAATCCCCAAACCAAAGCTCCAAAAGCAATTTGGTTAAAATCAGAATTATTTATATGCAACCTTATCATAATATCAGAAGGTTCATCAATTTATCATGTTCCATTTAAAATCTAATGGAATACATAACTCAGCTGGCATCTTAAGATAGAGAGTATAAATTGTAGGATGAAAAAAGACCCCAACCAGCTTTGCAATATGAAAAGTGGGCTTGATTTTTCAGAACACAATAGAGAATCTTATGAGAGTCTGATCCTTTTTTTGTATGTGTACGTAATACTAGGGATTGAACCTCATACATGCTAGGCAAGTGTTCTACCACTAAGCTACATCTCCAGTCCTTTTTAAAATTTCATTTTGAGACAGTCTTGCTATGTTGCCCAGACTGGCCTTGAAATGTGATCCTCCTGTCTCAGCCTCCCCTCAGCTGGGATTCTGGGTTGTGTCAGTGCTTAGTGACTCTTCCCTCTTAAAGTGTGATTCTACAGAACAAGAAGGATGGAGGGGAGCTCCACTATTTCAGAAAGCTGGTTAATCTATTCCTCATATTTCCCCTACCTGCAACTTAAAAGCAAGTTCATGCTTGAGAGCCCTGAGATCATCTAGCTGCTGCCGCAGAGACACCAGGGCATCCTGCTTCTCACAGACATCCTTCTCCAGCATCTTCATAGCCAATTCCATCTCTTGTCTCATGCTGATCTGGATCTCCAACTCTTTTTCAACATCCTGCCACCAGAGGTAAATGAATTGATTATACTCCCTTTCCTCAACTAAGTACAACCATAAAATTTCACAGGAAGGGTAAACCAAAACCCTTAGGTCTGAATATTCTGGTATAACAGCCAAAAGCCATCATTCATTTTCAGAGACATTAACAATAAGAACAATTAAGTATAACATCTGTTTGATAATGTACAAATCTAAAAAATTACTAGGTTAAAGACAATGCTATTTATGGTCAAAATATGCACACACTTGGGATACTGTGACAATGCATAAGTCCTATTATAGAAATATACATAAAGTGTTATAGTAGAAGCACAAATTGAAGTAGTTGCAATTCTCTCAAATTTAAATGTTGATATATTCAAGAACCCAAGGAACCCAGAGTATATTCTGGGTCCCTAAGGATAACATCTCAATTATTAGGAATTATCAATACAGCTAACTGAATTTTTAGTTTCACTTAACATGAAACTCCTTTTTGTTTCAACCATTATGACTGTAACATTATTCAGATCAGCAAAGATACAGAGACCTGAGTTGTGTCTAAGATATATCTAGTACCTTGCCTATTTCTTGCCTTCTTAACAAATATTTATCTTATTTCTTATTATGATAAAAGAATACAAAAATTTTAAGATTTTTATTATGTGCTACTTAACTGAGACACCCCTCTTAACATGATTAGCACAAAATGAATCATGCTATATCTGAAAATCTGACATATTATTTCTAGGATCTTCCTTGTAAGAAGTATTTTGAGATAAATTTACAAACACATAGAAGGCAGATACTAAATAACATTACTATGTTTTCAGACAATCTTAATTTCTGCTGTACACTGTTAATTTGTAATAACTTTTTATTACATATTAAATCACCCCTTATTTTTTGTCTTTTCCCTAGTCTTAGAGACACTATGGGGGGGAGGGGTCCTTTTGTTTGTCATCCTATCTGAACTTCAGGAAGAATTAATATGCTAATAGCAAGGTTTATTGATACTTATGAATCTTAAACACATACTACACATATATATTTTAATTTCTAAGAGTAATACTGGACAATAAAATTTTCTCTCTATATATATTAGAGTGAGAATAAACTCAGGAATAATAGGTAAAAATAAGATAATCTACATTCATGATTCCTACTAAGGGGACGATGTCAAGCTTTGCAGTGGTGAGGACTGAGGGAGGAGTGGGGATAAGTAAGTTCTATATACCTAGTGTTCCTGAAATATAAACTGAAATATAAAGAAGGAAAAAAAAAGCAGGGGCTAGTTTCGAGAAAGCCATACAGGGAATGTGGGTTAAAAAAAAAAAAGTTAAGAAACAGTTTTCAGAATTATAAAAAAGTTATACATAGAATACTACTAATATTCCAGATCTTGGTCTATAAGGTAAAATCTCTTAGGCCATTTCATGTGTTCCTGAAATACTAGAACTTAGGCAAAGTTTACCAATCGTAATTGTGTCTCCTCCTTTAAATGCTTTCTTGCTTCACTTAGTGCTTGTCCTTCTGCAGTCCTGTCTTGCTTAGGACCCTTGAAAAGAAATAAAGTATTGAATATTTAGGGATTTAAATAACCTACATAGCATTAGCAGATACTGGCATTGCTATTTAGTAAAGAAAAATGATGATAGATATGGTGTTGGGCTGTGGGGATGGGAGACGAATTTGTAAACCCTGGAGTCAGGTTCTGCATACCCAAGGTCGCTGCTGTGTGGAGACTGGGTGAAGCCACCATCCCCATGTCTGATCAGGAAGCAAAACTTTCAGTCGAGGATTTGGAGAACAATAATACATTAAACTCAAAGCCATTGGACAGTATAACACTGAGATTCACTTTAAAGTGAAAATGACAACACATCTCAAGAAACTCAAAGAATCATACTGTCAAAGACAAGGAGTTCCAATGAATTCACTCAGGTTTCTCTTTGAAGGTCAGAGAATTGCTGATAATCATACTCCAAAAGAACTGGGAATGGAGGAAGAAGATGTGATTGAAGTTTATAAGGAATAAAAAAGGAGTCATTAAATGGTTTAGATATTGTTTTATTTTTTTTCTTTTCCCTCAATCCTTTTTTATTTTTAAAAGTAGTTCTTTTGTACTGTGGTATTCAAATGGAATTGAAAACTGGCACCCATCTCTTTAAAACAGGGTCTCACTGAGTTGCTTAGCACCTTGCTTTTGCTGAGGCTGGCTTTTTTTTTTTTTTTTTTTTTTTAAAGAGTGAGAGAGGGGAGAGAGAGAGAGAGAGAAATTTTAATATTTTATTTTTTAGTTCTCGGCGGACACAACATCTTTGTTGGTATGTGGTGCTGAGGATCGAACCCGGGCCGCATGCATGCCAGACGGGCCGCAAGCATGCCAGACGAGCGCGGTACCGCCTGAGCCACATCCCCAGCCCCCTGCTGAGGCTGGCTTTGAATTCACAATCTTCCTGCTTCAGCCTCTGGAGCTGCTAGCATTACAGGCATGCACTACTCCACCATTGTTTGTTTTCACTGTGCTGATTTTTTGGTGATCAAACCTCAGCTCCCTTCGTATTGCCCTCTCCTTTTAAAAAATCACACATGTACACAGAGAGGCCACCTTTTTCAGGACTGCATTTTCAGGCTTGTGATGGTAAATAAGATCGACCAATGTGAGTACCTATAATGACTTTCCAATTGGCCCTGAAGTTCTAGCACATGATTGCTTCATTACTGGACTGTGACTTTCAGTGGGAGATGGAAGTTTTTCAGAGAATTGAATTGTAGGAAAATGACCTTTCCTTAAGTTGATGCTACTTTTAAAATCTGAATGTTTGGACCAAAAGAGGAGGAATAAAACTTTGGAGTCAAGATGACAGATATGATGAGAGTAATGACGAGCTCCAAAGATGGCTTCACTGAAGAGAAAGCATTTTAAGATTAACACCAACAAAAACAACAATCTTGTCAGACGACCTTGGAAAAGTTCTAATTTTCATTAGCAGTTAATAAAGTTATTCATGCAGAAGTGTATACAACAGAACACTGCTCCTCTGATTTTATTTGTACTTTTGGCCTGGGATATGGGTTTTAAATGGGCATTGTATCAGCTTCATTAAAATAAACAATATTTGGGCTGGGGATGTGGCTCAAGCGGTAGCGCGCTCGCCTAGCATGCGTGCAGCCCGGGTTTGATCCTCAGCACCACATACAAACGAAGATGTTGTGTCCGCCGAGAACTAAGAAAAAATAAATAAATGTTAAAATTCTCTCTCTCTGTCCCCCTCTCTCTTACTCTCTCTTTAAAAAAAATAAATAAATAAACAATATTTGTAAAAACCTTTTAAAAATGATCATACCTAAGCACTTATAACAATGAATGAAGACAGTAAGGAAACTGAAGAAGTCAAGTACATTTAAAAAGTCAGGCAGAATTGGAAGTTTCCTGCTTTATTTAAAAATCCTAAGATAAGTTAATGAGACAGAGCCAGACATGGTGGTATAGGTCATAATTCCAGCTATTCAGGAGGCTGAGGCAGGAGGATCATAAGTTTGAGGCCTCAGCAACTGAGTGAGAGCCTGTCTCAAAATAAATAAATAAACAAACAAACAAACAAATAAATAAATTTAAAAAAAAACAAAGGGCTGGGGCCTGGGGTTGTGGTTCAGTGGTAGAGCACTTGCCTAACACGTGTGAGGCAATCCTCAGCACCACATATAAATAAATAAATAAAACAAAGGTCTATCAATGTCTTAAAAAAAAAAAAAAAAAAGGTCCAGGGATGTGGGGCTGGGGTTGTGGCTGTGGTAGGTAGAGTGCTCGCCTAGCACATGTGAAGCACTGGGTTCGATCCTTGGCACCACATAAAAATAAATGAATCAAATGAAGCTATTGTGTCCATCTACAACTTAAAAAAAAAAAAAAAAAGGCTGGGGATGTAGCTCAGTGGTAAAGTTCCCCTG